TTAATTCTCTCGGCTACGGTATATTATTTCTTGGGACTACAGCTCGCTGTGTTCTGCTTCTTCATCTGCCAAATGCCGCAGCATCTGGAGCCCAATTGCCCCCGTACCCCGAGGCATTCCAGCACCAACCATCCTCCGTGTCTATAAATTGTTTCAAGCCCAAAGTGATTTAAGTCACTCAGTGGCTTAGAAAAAGCTAACATTTTAACAAAACTAATGGATTTATATTCTTTGTTTCGTTTATTGCACTTTACAATGAGCAGATTTCAGAGTGTAAGGACTTTTGTGTTCTTTTGCTCCCTCCAAGCTGCCGGTACATGCGGTCCTGGTACCCTGGACGACATGATGATCGACCCCCAGATCACTGGCTACGGGTCCGATGGATATCAACAACACGGGGGGAATTATGGGATGCCGGTGAACGGCGGTCGCCAGGACAGGAATTGTTTGGCCGGTGTCTTCTGATTGACCCGCAGATCACAGGCCGATGAAGGCCTCCAGAGCTACGTGAACGTTTGCGGATAGACACCCACGCTATGACAAGTCTCCGGGTTATGCTCTTCCTGGAGCGTAACATCCTCTTAAATCATTATTGGGTCATCTACTCATATCCGGGGGGGATGCAGAAGATGATGATGATGAGGACTCCAGGAGCAGGAACACGTGATGCTTTTCGACAATGATGAAGCATGGGGACCACTGCAGGATTCGGTGGACACTGCCTTCTCGACCGCCACTTAAAACTGGAGAATTTCAAATCGCTACAGGACGGACAGGATTGGTTGACATAGCGTTTTTATCACTCCGTCAATCTGTGTGGTTTCATGTTGTTAATTATAGACTTTGAGATATCGTTGGGTGTCCTTGAACATTACTTCACAGGAACTCACACCCATGGACCTGTGTTTCTGTGCCGGCTCAACCCATTCAGTTCATCATGCAGTGATCAGCAACTTTTAATTAAATATAACCGGAAGCGGGATACTGGACACATTCCCTTCTCTTTTTGTATATGAACTAGAACGTGACTCAATGGCAAAACTGAATCTTCAAGGTTGGTTTGTCGTTATGTTATATTCTAGATATCATTCTTCGCGTAAAAATCCAGCTATTGGATGAGAAAAAAAATGAATTTTCTTCTTAAAATCCTGATAATGTGTTTTTTAAAGTGTTTCCTTTGCAGGCACTGTTAGTTTGATTCAGGTAATGTGTTAAAGTTCTGGTGATCTTGTATCGATGCAATTTTTTTGCTGTTCAAGCTACTACTGTCGTTCGTTTTCGTAATTCGCAAAGTTCAATTAAAGAAAAGGAAAATACTTTCAGTCATAAAAACACAAATTAATAGTATGTTAAGTAAAACCGCGAACATGAATTATGGATTGACTTGATAATGTACTAATTACATATTTCAATATTTTACTACAACTGAGGCTCATCTCCTCTGTTTGATGTTGTGAGGCGTTGAGGTTTACAGTGACCTGTTTAGTTGTAGTGTTATCGTCTTTTTCAGCTTTAAAGCTCACATTATGTTTTGGTGGTTAATGACAATTTTATGACACAAAAAAATTATAATATAGCAAAACGCTGGTATCAATGTCAATGGGGAAACCTGTTTGATAATGAGGCTTCAGGTGCTGAAGAGCACAATCACAATCTGTACATTTTAATTCCTCAGTGTAATACATGTACAGATGTAAACTGGATTTTGCTGCATGGCTGAATATCGGCGTTCTTTCTGATGTGCTCTGAGACATCAATTAAAATCTGGCTCAAAACAGTTGAAGCCTTGGCTACATTTTTCTGGTCAACTCTAGACCTAGAGTCTCCGAATTTAATCCAATATCCTGTTCTCCTTTACGAGTATTATTTCAACAGCGCTGCAGGACAAGCTTTCACAGTGATTGACTTTGGCTTGCCTCTCCTCTCTCTACAGCACCAAGGTCTGGATATTGCTGATTAGCTTTTCGTACAAATCATATATAAGATCCCTATTTCACATGTGACAGTTAATGGTGATTACAGATAAAATATATATCCTCTGAAGTAGAGAGGTGTCGATGAAACTTTGGGCTTTTAATCATTAAGCCATTTTCTGATTTCTTACAGGTAAAGAGTAAAGATTTTTTTATTTCAAAGAATGTGTCATCTTTCTTTTTTGTACAAGTAACATTCACCAGTCCATTATCCTTTGAATCCCTGCAGCAGAGGAGAATGGAGCATCCAAAAAAAAGTCCCGAAACTGGATTTTCCCACCACATCTGTGACCACTCAAAGGACGCTCAAGGAAGGCAACGTTGGAAATTCGTGAGTGCTGATGGTGAAACATGCTGAGAAATCTGAAGGAGTGAAAAACCAATGGCAGGAACTCAAAGCAATATTGTGGCAGCGGGGTGTGGGTGAGGGCGTCGGCTGCTGGAGTGAAGGGTGGCTCGCCGGAGGCCAGACAGCTATCGGAAATCAAGGTAATCAGTGGACGTATTAAAAGCATGTCGTAACCGGTTCTGAGTCTGGTTTTGCAGTAGGCGGGATCCTGGAAGGCCGCCAACGGACCTGTGAAGGTTTCCCCACTTGGCAACGTTTGAGACCCGTGTATACTTTGTTTTGCGGTGCTAATAAACGCCTGTGATCACCAACCGGCTCTTTCCGTCCCTATTTGAAGGTTGTGGCTAGGAAAGATCCGTCTAGTGTAAAACTCTCGCGAGAGTTTGCAGGGTCCACGTGGGTAATGTCTACGATTTTGGCAGGCGCCTTTCAGTTACGATCGTAACATCGGTGGGCACATCAAATATGGTGTGAGAAGCTAAACTATCTTTAATTATCTCAATTACAGGGGTGTGATTGTTGAAATAGGGTGTTAGCGGTCTTGCTGTCAAATAAGAATACAACACTGTAGATCACCACCACTACGGTTTATTTTATTCACAGGACAAGTCAACGTTGTCGCAGTAAAAGTCCCAAGATAGCTCTGTGCAATTAAAATTTCCCTTCAGGTGTTTTACTATTATGTCTGATGTGTCTCTACTATAAAATTTGCTGCTGCCTTAATGTGTATGTTGCATGTTTACTGCTGTAGATGTGTTCCGAGCCGCTATCACGAGAGTTACAACGAGAACTGTGACGTCATATTTACACAGCGGATCCTTTCTAGCCATAACCGTATTTGAACCCTGTGTGAGCGGAGAGGCTCACAAATTCCTTTCTGTTGAGTTTGAGTTCATGTATGAGGATACGGTTTCCAAAGTGTTTCTTATTTCTCTACAAAAACTGTAAGTAAATTATGGAACAATGTATCAAATTTCACCAGCTACAAAAAGGTCAAAGAATTATGACGTTTTAGGGGCTTATCTGAATTTGTGGTTCTGGATGTATAGAGGATAGTTAAAGAGTTCCACCAGGAACTAGTCGGCAGCCCTCGATAGCAATCTGTTTTGGCACAGAGTGGCTTGGAGCTAAACTCAAGCACCATCTTTAGTTTAGCATAATAACATTTTTTAATTGCGCCTAAATGCAAAAACATTAGATGGGATGGGCAAATATTATCTTTTATAATATTTTTTTTGA